ATGGTGATCTCATCACGAGTTTGTAAGACTTAAGGATGCATTTTACCTCCGAAGTGAGTGAGAACAAATAAATAGTTAAAAGTGCTATCAATTTAGCGTAATAGACTACACTTATCTTAGGATGAAAAAAAAAAGATGATCCGGAAAAAAATCATTTGGAAATCCCTGTTCTAAGACCTTGGGAAGGCGGATTGCTCAGAATATCCCAAGACATGGCGATCAATGGTCATCCTGAACAGTACTGAGTGTCCTGAAATCCTCTAAGCCTCTTTAAGCTAAGCTCCAAGTTTGGTTTTTATAATCATCAGTGGAATTATTATTGATGCATAATATGTTTGACACCTACTCTGGAGCTCAGATACTCTGCTATCAGTTCGAGGACTAGACAACACTGGATTTTCTGAACAGGCATTCTCCAGTGGGATTGGCTTTTCCCTTGTCAAGTTGCTTACTGTTCGAATTGCAATCTTTCCAGGAATTGCCTTCTGTTTTGCACCTATAAGTTTTAGTGGAACTTCATTTGGATTTCAGATTGCAATCCTGAATTTCTAAATACAACTATCTAAGCCATTGCCATTGGAAACATTATCCACAAAAAAAGATACTATGTGTTACTTGATCAGGTAAAGGGAGAAACTGAAAAACAAAGCCAAGAAATATGAACACGTTACATACCAGGCTGTTTTTCTGTGTTCTTCCTTGCTGCAATCACATGCACCCTTTTGTTGCTAGAGATTTCAGCATTAGAGCGGATAACTTGGGGATCCATGCTGTCTAGAAAAATTAGCTACTCTTTCCACAAGAGTCATAGCTCGAGTGCTTTCAACTTCTACTGCTTGTTTAGTCCAAGAGCTCCGCAAAGTAGGAGTAGAATTATACTGGTTCACACATAGATTTTACAACTTTCCTCTTAAAAATTAGATAAAAACAATTATTGTAATTTATATAACAGGCTGTTGTTCCTCTATTTCTGTTGTTCACAACATGTGCACAACTGGGTCTGTGGAAAGAACAGGTGGGTAAGACAAGGTTAAATGAATGGTCTCCAGAACAAAATTTATATTGTTTCCTAGGATCTTTTTGACTTGAAGTATGAGAAACCGCATGTATTTCTAATACATCAAAATTACATCATTCATTTTTTATAGAAGTTGCTCAAGTTCAAAATCCATTTCCAAATACATTATGGGCCTGGTGAAACTGGGTACAGAAAGTCAGACTTCTAAAAGTCTGTCTAACCAAATTAAATCATTGTACTCTTTCAATATTGATATATGTCATCTAGAAGTAATCACAAAGGACAACATAGTTTTTCTTAGTTAGGAAGCATGCTTGACCACTAAACAGCCTTCTAAGATGTGTGAATGGATCATATCATTAATAACATTTCGTTTTCAAGTTGAAGCCTACCTGAGCAAGTCCGCACAATATCAACAATCTCTAATCGATGAATGTTTGCTACATGCGAAATATTTTTTGCACAAGAACTGATGTTGTTTGATGCTTGTAAGTCTGTATGAAAAGTCTCTTGTGCAACTTGTTTCTTTATTTTAAACTCAGAATTTGCATAATTTTTTGTTGCCAGCTGTAATTCTGATTGAAGAAGTATTTGCTATATACTCCCAAGAAATGCAAATGCAATTAATGACTAGATGCTTCAACACCTGGAACCGAAATTTTCTTACCCTCCCATACCCAGGGACATCTGTTAACACTTAACAATGGGGATGGGGATAGGGATAGGGATAGGGATAGGGATAGGGATAGCAAAAATCCTGTGAGGCCCCACTCCTGACAAGGGAAGTATAGGGATCTTAAAGAGGCATCAGGTCAGGACGACAGCCTGTGCCTTGCAGCGAATCCCACTCTGTTCAAGTTACATATAATAAAAAACAATCATGTATGAAAAAATATATATACTGTAACACATATAAAATTTTAAAATTTACTTAATATAAAATTCATTACTCTAGTTGTATTTAATGCCTATGAAAATAAATTCATCATTAACAAATTAATCTCAATTCTAATACTAGAATAAAAGCAAATCCAACTAGGTTTCTATGTTTGTATAATTGTTTTTATGTCAATGGAAAATATGTGCATTACTGATTTTACTTATGAATAACAAAGTCATATAACCTATTTAATCTCTCCTTTTCAATAATAAGAGTTTGAAACAGATTAGTTAGATGATCCATTGTCTATTTGCTATTTCAGACACTATTTCCTAGCAGTTAGTTTAAATTGAACTGTTAAAGGTCCATGAAGATCGTGGTTAATTCTTAACAATGGGGAACTAAATTTGTATTATCATGCGTGCAATAAGTAATCATGCAATTGTAAATTGATGGACATTATAAAAGTGATACTCCATCATATTTATGACAAAAGTAAACTAAGCAAAACACCAAATGACTAAAATACTGGAATACATGAAAACCAAATATGTCAAGAAAAAGAAAGCAGAAAAAAGGAACTTGAACATGCAGCTAGCAGCAACCCTAAGTGGCTTTTGGGAAGTGAAGGACAATTTATTATCAATTTCGAAAATTGAATCTGAAATCCAACATCCATGTCATCCTCTCTACTCTCGTTCTCTTCCTCTCCCATTCCAAACTTCCCATTGCATCCCTGTCCAGATTCCAGTACCTGACACTGTCCACCTGTCATACGTCCTTCTCCCATATGCTTCTGAGCTTTAACTTTCCGTATAGCATTGACGTCCAAGCCAGTAGTATCCCCAATCCATCCTCCTCTCCCCTCAATCTTTTTCGGGTAAAACATGGCTATGAATCACCAAGTTGACCAAGGTTCAATATAGGTCAAATTGGTGACTGAAATAAAAGCAAGTGAAAAAACTCTTAGCATTGAAGAAGGTCATGGTCCTATCAGTGCTGGATTCATGTTGAGAAAGGGAAAGAAATATTATATTCAAGGAGAACTAAAGAGATTAACCAACAAAGATAAGACACCCTCTCGCAATTCGTCCTCTATTTCAAGTGTGTTGAATCCAAGTAAATTTTCTTCAGAACTCAGTATGACCTTGATGTTCTTAATTCAGTTTTGTCTCATTGCTCCTATTGTTACTCGAATGGTTGGTCGGTCTTGCACTCAACGTTCTTTATTTAATTATGGAACTTACCAGCTATTCGGTTCATCTTGTAAACCTTTTTCAGCTAATCTCAATCGCGTTACAATCCTTAAACAATATAGAAAGCTTTTGAACATTTCAAGCGAAGGGAAGCTAATTTAGAAGAAATGAAAACTTTGCAAAACAAGAATAGGAGGAAACTTATTAACCTATCAAGGGGAAGACAGCAGTGGGAGCCAGACCTGTTGCCAAGGGATTTAGTAAGACATATAAAAAAATTATGAAAAATTTGCTCCAGTTGACACGAACACTGAAAGAGTTCTTTTTCTGCGTGTTGGAAATTTGAGTGGCCCACTTCAACAACTTGATGCAACTCTCACCAAGATTCGAAGAGAATATTGGAAAAATAAAGTGTGCAAGCTGAGGAAGTCAGTTTAAGGTCTCAACAATCCCTGTGGGTACTTTTTGAATAAGTTACAACTTCAGTATAGAAATTTGTGTATATACAGAGGGTAAGGGATCATACAGTGTTCTACAAACATAGAGCTGAGGAAAGACCACTATTCTTATTGTTTATGTGGATGACATTTTCATAACAGGTTACACTGTTGACGAAGTGAAAAGCCTATAAAAGAGCTGGCTTTGGAATTTTGAAATTAAAAATCCAGATGATCTTGGATATTTTCTTGAAATTTAGGGTAGTAGACTGGAGAAAGGGAATTTTTGTCTGAGTGAAGTATGTTATAGATCAGCTAGAAACTGGTATGCTTTGTTGTAAACCACGGGATATTCCAATAGAAGCTAACCATCAATTTACAACTCCTCAGCGGGAAAGAGAAGTTGAGGATGGAATGGAACAGATACTAGTTGGCAAACTGAACTACTTGGCTCATACCAGACTAAACATTGCATTTGTTGTGGGAGTTGTCAATTAATTGCATGATCCTCATGGAAGCCACCTAGGCAAACTGAGCTACTTCAGGGCAACTTACTGAGGTCATATCGCTTATTTTTACACTTTTCTCAGGCGGTTCTAGAAGTGAGTCCAGATGCACCTTTTTTCCAACAAGAGGAAATGGGCAAAGACATGATAAATACATCAAAATATGTTAATTAGTCATATTTCTTCTTTTTTCTCGTTATAATAGGA